GGTCTCCCTGTTGCCCCAGCTGGCCTGGAACTCACTGTGTAGACCAGGCTGGCCTTGAACTCAGAGATCCACCTACCTCTGCCTCCTGAGTGCTGGGATTAAAGGCGTGCACCATCGTGCCCTGCTTGACCCCTTCTCTTAAAAAATTTACTATATTATTATTATTACTATTATTATTATTATTATTATACCATTGGGGGGGCATGTGTGACGTGTACCTGTGTGGAAGTCAGAGGACTGCTTTGTGGAGTTGATGCTCTCCTTCCACGGGTTCTGGGGTTCAGTCTTGCATAGCAAGCTCTTTCCCCACTCACCATCTTATCAGCCCTTAAACCACATCGACTCACCTGCTTTGTCTTCTTCTTCTTCTTCTTTTTTGATGTCCCAACAAGGCTAGTTAGCAAAGGGTTGATTACAGGAGCTTGACCAATTTACCTGTGTCCACACCCCTCACCCAGCAACCATTCACTGTATATAGAACCTCAGAAGGGGTGGGGCCTTGTGAATCCCTCAAGCTGGGGTTTTAATTGGGGTGTTGAAAGCCAGCCTAATCTGCAGAGGGTCGTACCAGCCAAAAGACCACAAGTACGTAAGATCTGCACAGTGTATGCTGGGGTGCAGGGGCCACTTGGGGAGTATGTAGTTGCCCACAGGAGGTGGTCACAAGAGGAAGCCAAATGAGGTGGGTATCTGGATTTGCCACAGTGAGGAAGTGGGCAGAGACAGAGAACTGGAGACTGATGGGGAGGCCAAGCCCAGCTGTGGCCTGGGAAATTCTGACACGCCCAGCCAAGGTTGCATGAAATGGCAGGCGTTCACCAAGCAGGTGTAGCTCACAGTAGAGAGGAGGAAACCATTGTGCCGTAGAAGGGTAGAGTTGAGTCAGTCCAGAAAGGACCTTTGTCTATTTCTTAACAGCTTTATTGAGAAACACTAACACTCTGTACAATTTACAGTTCATCTTTTAAAAGTGTGTCACTCTGGGGGCTGGGGAGATGGTCCAGCCATTAAGGTCCTTACTGTGAAAATGGAAACACAAGTTAGGATCACTCATGTTAAAAGCTGGGCACAGGGGGCTGGAGAGATGGCTCAGTGGTTAAGAGCACTGACTGCTCTTGCAAAGAACCTAGGTTGGGTTCCCAGTACCCACATGTCAGCTCACAAACTTCTGTAACTCCAGTTCCGTTGGGTCCAACGCCTTCTTCTGGCCTCCATGGGCATTGCATGACACAGAGACAGATAAAATACTCATACAAATAAAATAAAAAGAAATAAGTCCAAAGAAACTTAAAGAATTTTTAAAAGATCTGCTTGTTTCTAATTTATGTGTATGTTGGTGTGCCTGAGTATATTGTGTGTGCACTGTGCATACAGGTGTCCATGGAGGCCAGAAGAGGGAGTCAGATCCCTCAGAACTGGAGTTACAGGTAGTTGTGAATGACCTGACGTGGGTGCTTGGAACCTAGCCCAGGTCCTCTTGCAAGAGCAGCCAGTGATCTAACCACTGAGCCATCTCTCAAGCCCCCACCTTCCACCTTTTGTTTGAGATATGCAGGACAGACTAGCTATTCCACAAGCTTTCAGGGATCCTGCTGTCTCTGCTACTCATGTCCCTGTTACTGGGATTACAGGTGAACACCACCAAGCCCAGCTCTTTCCATAGGCTCTGAGGATCAGGATTCAGGTTGGCAAGTTCTTTACCCCTGAGCTGTCACCACAGCCCAGCTGTCTACACATCTTGTCTATTACAGATAACATTGCTTAATCACCATGTGTAAGGTTTTGTGTGTAGCAGGGCTCTGCAGCAATGAAAATCTACCTTGGGCTACATTAGCAAATTTCTGGTTATTCTGGAGGACACAGTCTCCTTTCACATGTCAAGCAGGCCTGTGAATCCAATTCCAGGGCCTGAGGACCTCAAGCACCATCCCCACCCTGTGAACAGGCAGAGGCTCAGACCTAGCTGCAATATGCGATTCTCTTTCTTTAGAGTGAAGACCCGTAAGCTGCAAGCCACTGGGAGATCAAAGGGTATGGATGATGAAGACTCCGTCATGGGCACAGTCAATTGGGTGAGTGGTGTGAGCATCCTGTCATACACGGGGCCCTCTGTGTAAGGCCATTTGGCAAGTTCACACTGAACCCCTTGGCATCACCACAGACCTGTCTCTCCCGGTCACCAGGAAGACACACATAGGAATTGCCTTCTTCCCTGGTTTCTCCCTCATCTCCAATCTAAAACTCACTGCGACTTTCCAACCGTCCTGCTAAGTAAAGATAACTAACTGAGATTACAGGCATGAGCCACAATGCCCAGCTTCCTCCTTCACTTTTGAACCCAGTTTCTCACACTTCTGCCAGGTGTGAGCATCCCACCTGAGTGTGTGCCTGTGTCTTTGTCCTCTGTTATAATCCACTGGCCAACCTTGCTGCCTGACTCAAAGCTGTTTACAGTCAATACATTTTGTTTTTACTGTCCTGAGCAGGAGAGCTGGCTCAGGGGGTGATGGTTCCTACTGCCTCACTTGACAGCCTGAGCTCGGTGCAGAGAGACAGCCAACTTCCACAGCTTGTACTCCACAGTCCACACATGCACACAAACACACACATATGCACATACACACAATAAAAAATTTTTTTAATGTCCCAGTATCCACTAAAGCAAAGCCTTCCTCTTTAATCTCCTTCAAAAGCACCTTGATTCGTCTGGTCTGTTTTGTGTTCTGATTCTGTTTTTGTTTTGGAGTTCTTTGAGACAGGGTCTCCCTGTAGCCCCAGTCAGCCTAGATTTAGTTCTGTAGACTAAGTTGGACTTGATCTCACAGAGATCCACCTGCCTCTGCCTCTCCAGGGCTGGGAGTAAAGGCATGCACCTCCCCCCTCCCCACCGCCATGCCTGGCTACTTTGACTATTTGGGGGCCCTTCTTTTTAAATATTTTATTACTATGTTTATTTTATGTGTGTGAGTGTATTTCCTACGTGTACACCTATGTCAGCAATGTGCTTGGAGGTCAGAAGAGGGCGTCAGATCGTCTGGAACTGGCGTTACAGGTGGTTGTGAGCTGCCAAGCGGGCACTGGGAACTAAACCCAGGTCCTCTGCAGGAGCAGCCAGTGCTCTAACCACTGAGCATCTCTCCAGCCCAGGGTTCTTCTTTTTTCCATTTACAATTAGAACCAGTTTATCAAGTCCAAAAAATACTTCTGTTAGTGTTTTGAATGGAATTACATTGATTCTATGCCTGAATTTGTGAAGAATGTATTTGTTTATGAATCCAAGTCTTCTCATCCATACAAACAGATATGCAAGGGCTGGAGAGATGGCTCAGCAGTTAAGAACACTGGCTGTTCTTGCAGAAGACCCGGGTTCGAATCCCAGCACCCACATGGCAGCTAACAACTGTCCGTAACTCCAGTCCCAGGGAATCTGACAGCCTCTTCTGACCTCCGTGGGCATTGCACTTACCTACATGCAGGCAGCACACGCATACACATAAAAATAATAAATAAAATATTTTTTAAAAACAGATATGCAATTTATTGGGGACCTAAACAGAACAGGAGGTGGATATGATCAAAATACACTGTACACATGCATGTAATTTCAAAAGAATAAATAAAAACATTTAATACAATGACAAAATCTTTTGAGTGTTTTCAAGATAGATGGATTTTTTTTTTCACATTGGTCTTTTTTGTTATTTTTCTCCCTAACTCTCCTGGATTTTTTCTTGCTTTTTTTTAAAAAAAAATTACTTCTTTTTTGGGATTGTAAATGCTGTTCATTTGTTTTGCAACACTGGGGATTGAACCCAGAACTTCATGCGTGTGCTAGGCACTAATCTATGTCTCCAGACCTGTTTCTCTTCTATTTATTATTTTTCATTTTGAGATAGGCTCTCTCTAAGTGTCCGAGACTGACCCTAAACTCACTTACCCAGGCAGACCTTGAACTTTTGATATTTCTGCCTCAGCTGGGATTACTGTCATATACCACCAGGCCCAGACAATGTTATCTTTTAAAAAATATTTTATTTATTATTTTTTTTTATTTATTTTATGTGTATGAGTGTATTGCCTGCATGTACGTGAGTGCACCTGTGTCGTGCAACGCTGTGGCGGTCAGAAGAGGGCTTCAGATTCCCCTGGAACTGGAGTTGAGGACAGTTTGTAGCCTCCATGTGGGTGCTGGGAATCGAACCCGGGTCCTCTGCAAGAGCAGTCAGTGCTCTTAACTGCTGAGCCATCTCTCCAGCCCCGATGTTATCTTTTTTAAAAGTGCATTTTCTGATGGCTTGCTGCAGGAATCCAGAATGAAAGTAATTTCTGCAATTTTTCAAAAGTTTTAAAAAATATTTTATTTTTATGTGTTATGCTTGTATTGCCTGCATGTATATAGATCCACCCTTCTTGTGCAATGCCTTCATAGGACAGAAGAGGCCATAGAATTCCCTGGAACTGGAGTTTCAGACAGTTGTTAGCAGCCATGTGGGTGCTGGGATTCGAACCTGGGTCTTCTGCAAGAGCAGTTGGTGTTCTTAACCTCTGAGTCATCTCTCCAGCCCAATTTCTGCAATTTAAAAATATTAAAAGTTGGCACTGGGAGACAGAGACAGGTGGATCTCTGTGAGTTCAAGGCCAGCCTGATCTACATAGCGAATTCCAGGCCAGCTGGGGCTACAGGGAGACCAAGTCTCAAAAACACACACACACACACACACACACACACACACACACACACACAATGTATATCAAATATATATTATATATTAAAAGTTGGTTTTCATGTTGCTTAGAACAGTTTTGTTTTGCTAGTTGAAGAATTCTTAGGTCTTATTTGGTTTGGGGGTTTTTTGTTTTTTTTGGTTTTTTGGGGGTTTGTTTTTGTCTTTTTGAGACAGGGTCTCCCCATAGCCCCAGCTGTCCCAGAACTCACTATGTGGACCAGGCTGGCCTTGAACTCACAGAGATCTGCCTGCCTCTGCCTCCCGAGTGCTGGGACTAAAGGTGTGCACCACCACACTGGCTCTTAGGTCTTGTTTGTAAGCCTACTAGCTTGTTCTTTTTCAAAATACAGACTGCAGACAGCAAGGCACAGATAAATCTCTTGTCCGTGTGTCCACGTGTCGGAGGGGTGCGCGTGCACGTGTGCCCACACACCTGTGGAGGCAGAGGACACTCTCTGGTGCTATTCCATAGAAGCCATCCACTTTGTGGGGCCTTCACTGGCCTGGAGCTTACCAAGTGGGCTAGTATGGTTGGCCAGTGAGCCCCAGAGATCTGCCTCTCTCTGCCTCTCCAGCATTGGGATTATAAGCGTGGCCCCACCACACCCAGCTTTTTTAACCTGGGTTCTGGAAATCTACTCAGGTCCCTGGACTTGCAAGGCAAGCACTTGAGGGACCGGGCCATCTCTCCAGATCCGCATCTTTTTATCTTATTTTGAGAATTTCATACATGAGTAACTGTATTTATGTCATTTCCTCCTCTCTCTGTCCCACTCCAATTCATCCTGTCTCCCTTACATCCCCATCTCAAATTCATGTCCTCGTCTATAATTATTATTTGTGTGTGTGTGTATGTGTGTGTGTGTGTGTGCATGTGGTGTAAAACCTACAGATTCCAGTTCATGATGCCCTACGTAGATGGTGTAGGGCTGAGCACTTAAGACTTGAGCAACCCTGAGCCTTTTTCTTTGGGCTCCCCGCTGAAGAAAGCCAACCCTCCCTCCCTCAGCAGCTACTGACTGCCCATAACTCTTCATCTAGGACTGCGGCCTTCGAAACCTTTCCTATCCCTGTTGACTTGTGTAATCTTGTGCACATCTTGTGCAGACAACCATATTGTTGCTATTTCACAGGTGCAACATCCCTACATCTAAAAGACACTATCTCACTGCCAGCCTCCCAGTCAGAATAATACTGGAGGATTGCCATACCAGGCCACATTTTTATTTTATGAAATATTTCTTTCAAGAATTAATCCATCCTTGTAGGCAGCTGGTATTGAAGAAGAAACACCTGGCCTCACATGACTTTGTGGATATGTTTTCCTTTGGAGAGATTTCAGATTTCAACAAATGACCCACTTTCCTGAAACGCCCACTTTGATGAGAAAGTTGAGGACGCCCAGTGCCAGTGCCAGCCGGCCAAGACGGACAGTACCTGAAAGGGGGAGTGAGGATTGAAAGAAAGAAAAAGAGACAGAAAAGATGCTTGGGAGGACTGACAGTAAATACTGCAGCCCTGGTTTATTTCAGCTCCACCTTTTTATACAGAAGAACTCAATTAGTTTCCACAGCTGTTTTTCCCACCTGTATCTGAGGGTCAAGGAGCGATCAGATCAAAGGCTCTTTGATCTTTTTGTTTACCACTATTGCCTCCAGGTCAGGTATTGTGAGGCTCTCCATATAAACACATTCCTCCTGAATAGGCAGATTAGGTACTGGTTTGCATAACACAAACTCAGTACAAGGCTGCCACAGCTCAATGCACATAATAGATTAGCAGCTCCCGACAGCCCAGCCTTAACCTCATTTAGCAAAGGAAGTCGAACAAGTCTGTGCAACACCTTAGGCTGTGGACAGCTTATGGCTGTGGATGGTTTGATCAGCAGAAAGCTGTTTTTCACTTCCCCACTGTCTCAACACTGATGTGGTTGGATCCCTTTGCTGGGCCCCCCAGGGCCTTCTGTGTAACTGTACATCTCCCTCAATGACACCTAGCTCTCTGGGGTACCACCTGCCTAGGTGTGGGGAATCATCCTATTAATTACAATAATTTTCCTGTAGAAAGTAAGATATTTTAGGGTTGGGGTATAGGGCAGTTGGTAGAATGTTTGCTTAGCATGCATAAAGCCCTGGGTTGGATCCCTAACACTTGCATAAGCTAGGTATGGTGACACATGCCTGTAATTCCAGCAGTTTGGAAGTAGAGGCAGGAGGATTACGAGTTTGAGGTCATCCTTGACTACATAAGTTTGAGGCCACTCTGGGCTATGCGAGACCCTATCTCAATCAATCAATTAATAAGAAATCAAAGTATTTTAAATAATTTTCAATTCAAAAATGCCACATTCTCAAAATTATGTGTATTTATTTATTGCCCAGGCTGCTCTTGAATTTACTGTCCTCCTGCCTCAGACTCAAGGTTGCTGGGATTATAAGCACACATCACCAGGACCAGCTAAACTTGTTATTATAAATTCATGTTGTTTTAAAAAATATTTTATTTATTTTTTATTGTATGTGTATGAATATATTGCCTGCATGTATGTAAGTGTACCTGTGTCATGCAATGCCCATGGAGGTCAGAAGAGGGCATTAGATTCCCTGGAACTGGAGTTACAGATGGTTGTGAGCCACCATGTGGGTGCTGGGAACTGAGCTCAGGTCCTCTGCAAGAGCAGCCAGTGCTCTTAGCTGCTGAGCCCCATCTCCAGCCCCTATTGTTGAATTTTTTAAATGCATCTACTGATAGGATTTGTTAACCCTTAAGCTGTTGCAGTCATTAATGACAAACATGTTCCAGCATGCTTGCAAAAACCAAGCTGAGACCCTCGGCACTTCAGCCTGCAGATGTGGCTCAGGTTCAAACCTTGACCATGGAGATGATGACCCTGAGGGACCACAGGCCCTTCCGGTTTTTGTTTTTTTGTTTTCTGTCATCTGGAAGAGGGTGCAGAAATTCTGAATAGCTGCTTGGGGAATGATTGAGAGAAAACTTTTGTAAAATCATCAGAGCCTAGTGCTCTCTCCATGCAATTTTTCTTTTAAAGGAAATGTTTTTAATTATATTTATTTATTTTTGGTGCAGTCACAGCCCATATGTGGAGGTCAGAGGACAACTGGCAGACCTCTCCTTCTACCATTGAGCTGAGGTCATCTGACTTAGCAGCAAGCACCTTTACCCACTGAGCCATCTAGCCAGTCATCTGTGTGACTTTCTTATTATTTTTATTTGGTTTTTTACTTATCTTTTTTTTTTTTTTTTTTGAGACAGGGTCTCCCTCTAGCCCAAGCTGTCCTAGAACTCACTATATAGACCAGGCTGGCCTTGAACTCACAGAGATCTGCCTGCCCCCGCCTCCTGAGTGCTGGGATTAAAACTGAAGTTTTCCACTTTTTATGAAGATTTTAGCTGTTGTTCTCTTGCCTTTATGTTATTTTATTGACATCACTTTTCCTTTATATTCTTGATGTAAGTTACTGGTGACAGTCCCTCTTTTCTTTTAGCTAAATCTTGTTAGTGGTCTATCTTATGATCCATTTCAAAGAACCAACTTCCTTCCTTCCTTCCTTCCCTCCTTCCTTCCTTCCTTCCTTCCTTCCTTCATTTATTTATTGAACTCCTCATCCTCCTGCCTTTGCCACCTGAGTGCCCCTCCGTGCCCAGACTCTTGCTTTGTTTTGTTTTTGTGAGACAGCATCTCACTGTGTAACTCTGGGTGTCCTGGAACTCGCTTTGTAGACCATCCTGGCCTCAAACACAGAGATGGACTAGCCTCTGCCTCCTGAGTGCTGGGATTGAAAGTGTGTGCCACCACACCCAGCCACACCGTTTTTCTCCCCTTTGGCATGAGTATATGTGTGGTGTGTGTGTGTGCACATGCACACATATGTGTATGCACATGTGTGTGGATAGAGGTTGACATCGGGTATCCTTCTTTATCACACTCCTTTTTATAAGGTGAGACACTAAGATATTCACATAGGGGCTGGAGAGATAGCTCTGCAGTTAAGAGCACTGGTCACTCTTGCAGAGGACCTGGGTTCGATTCCCAGCGCCCACATGGTAGATAACAACCATCTTTAACTCCAGTTCCAGGGGATCCAGTGCCCTCTCCTGGCCTCCACAGGCACACCACACACACACACACACACACACACACACACACACACACACACGCACACGCCCTGCATTTTTATTCCTCAAGAGTATGCTTGGAGGGTCTAGCAGGGGAATGCAACCACTCATATACCCTTGACTAAATAATAGTCCTCTATCGGGGAAGGTCGTCCTTTAAGATGGAGCACATGGCTTCAGGGGAGAGCTTATAGAAAGGTGATGGAGGAAGGGACACCTGCCTAGCCAGTGCCATCAGCCAGATCAACCCCCATGATCCGGAGTGAGATGTCACATCCTGCTTCTTTAGACCTGATGTGACTTCCTTGTTTTTCAGGGTGCCAGGCAAGAGCCCTGGCCAGACAGTCCCGGAAACCAGGTGTCCCCTGCTGTGACTGTCCCATCTTCAGAACAACAACAGGAAAAACAACAGGAACTCCACTATGCCTCCCTCAACTTTCAGGGGATAAAGTTTAAAGAGCCTCAGGAAGCCACAAGCAGCACAGAATACTCAGAGATCAAGACAAGCAAGTGAGGGCTCACCACAGCTCAGTCCTGGCAGGAGGTGTCGCAGCCTGTGTGGTGGAAAGAAGATGTCAGAAGCTAATTGTTGAAGCACAAGAAACCCTTCTAAGTCTTGTATGAGCATCCTCGGGAATGGCAGAAAGAAGAGACATAGGGAACAGAAAGACTTGGGATCAATCCCCAGTTCCAGAACCTTCTGAAACATCATGAAGCAGTTCGCTCTGTCACTCTGTGCCTTGGTTTCCCATCTTATAAATCAGAGATCACATGCCCTACCTTAAAAGTGCTGTATTATGGAGATGGAAAGATGGCTCCATGGTTAAGAGCATGTGTATTGTTCTTACAGAAGACCCAAGTTCAGTTCCCAGCACCCATGTGGCAGCTCACAACCTCCTATAACTCCAGTTCTGGGGTGATCTGGCATCCTCTTTTAGTCTTCTTGGGTACTGTACATGTGGCATACCTACATGTAAATAAAAATAAATAAGTCTAAAAAAAAATGGTATTGGGGCTGGAGAGATGATTCACAAGTTAAGAGCAGGGGTTGCTCTGGCAGAGGACCAGGGTTTGGTTCCCAGCATCTACACGGTGGTTAACAACCTCCTGTAACTCCAGTTCCAGGGTACCTGCTGCCCTCTTCTGGCTTCCTTGGGCACTGCACACACGTGGTGCACTTATATACATGCTGGCAACATACTCATACACCAAATAAAAATAAAAACCAAAATAAAAATAAATCATTTTTAGATTATAGTAAAGAAACCAGTGTACAGACATCAGCCAACAGAGATTCCGCAGCAGGTTATGTGCTAAGTGCCTCCTTGAACAGAGCGCTCCTGTGGGCATGCTCCCCTGACCAGGTATGGTGAACAGGGCAGGAGAAACAGTAACATTCACCCCCACTTCAGGCGTTCCAGGGTGCCGCAGGAAAGATCAGCCCCTCAGCCTAGCAGTCGGTTCAGGATGTGTCTTTTTGGCTTTCTTGTTTCCCTTTGTTTTTGTGTTTTGTTTGAGACAGGGTCTCCCTGTAGCCCCAGCTGCCCTGGAACTCACTATGTAGACCAGGCTTGCCTCGAACTCACAGAGATCCACCTGCCTCTGCCTCCCAAATGCTGGGATTAAAGGCATGTGTGTGCATGCATGCGTGCATGTGCAGGTGAGTACAGGCACCTGCAGAGGCCAGAAGAGAGCATCAGATCCCCTGGAGCTAGAGTTAGAAGTGGTTGTGAACCACTCTATGTGGATCCAAACTTAGGTCCTCTGCAAGATTAGCAAACGCTCTTAGCCAGTGAGCTCTCTCTCCAGCCCTTTTTTTTTTCTTTCTTTCTTTCTTTTTTTTTCATTGTTTGTTTTGTTTTGTTTGATACAGGGTCTTGTGTAGCCCCAGCTGGCCTAGAATTCACTGTACAGCCAAGGATGACCTTGAACTCCTAATCCTCCTGCTTCTGCTTCCCAAGTGTTGTGACTGCAGGTGTGCCAATATCTGGCTGTGATGTGGTGTCTCCTCCCACTCCCCCAGGGCCACCCTCTTGCCCACCCTCTTCCAGTCCTTCCTGAATGTCTCTTCATCCCTGCCCTCTCATCATCTCATTCACAGGCCCCTGAAGATAATCCAACAGCCAAACAGCTGCCTCCATCTCATCTACACCCAAACACACCCATGTCTCCTGGCCAGAGACCGCAAACTGCAGGCACCTCCTTCCTCCTTGAAACCCACCTGGATCTTCTGCCCTCTTCCATCCACCAGAGGGCATATTCTTGGCATATCTTTCCCCTAAACCTTCTGTGTCACTTCAAACCACACAGTTCATTAGTTTTCTCATTGCTGTGGCATAACACCTGACGGAAACAAGTCAAAGGAAAAGAGGGTTTATTTGATGGAGCCACTGAATGGCTCAGTGGGTAAAAGAGCCTCCAGCCAAACCGGCCAACCTGAGTTTGATTTCAGGAGCCCACATGGTGGAAGGAGAGGACTGACTCCTGAGAGTAGTTCTTCAAGCTGTGCTCCTGCCCACCCCGTACAAACATAATTTTAATTTTTAATTATGGGGGGTGGCGGTTGTGCACATGACTGTGGAAGCCAAAAGGGGATGTCTGATTCCCCACCTGACACGGGTGTGCCCGGTCCTCTGCAAGAGCAGCACATACTCTTAACCGCCGAACCGTCTGTCCAGCCCCAAATGTAATTTAAAAATTAAACAAATGGTTTATATGGGACTTGATCGATGGCTCAGTGTTAATCAATACTTGCTGCTCTTTCAGAAAACCCATTTGATTCTCAGCACCACATGGGGCATCTCACAACCCCCCATAACTCCAGTTCCAGGGGATCTGACACCCTCTTTTAGCCTCTGAAGGCTGTGAACGACACAGGTGCACTTACATACATGCAGGCAAAACACACATACACATAAAATAAAAATATAAATAAATAAAAGTAAAGAAGTATAGAACACTGTCTGGGGATGTAGCTCAGTCGATAGAATTCTTACCTGGGCAAAGCCCTGGATTCAGGCTCCAGCCAGGTAAAAATGGGGTGCAGTGGCAAGTGGCATGCACCTGTAATCCCAACACTGGACAGGCGGAGACAAAAGAATCAGAAGTTCAAGGTCAGCCTTGGCTACACAGTGAATTCCAGGTGAGCCTGGGGTACATGAAAACATGGATCAAACTTTAATTGATTAATTCACTTTAAAAGTAAAGGGAATGGAGAGATTCTCACTGGTTCTACAAACACTTGCTGTACAATCATAAGAACCAGGGCTTGGATCCCAGCACCCAAGTACAAAGTTGGGTGTCTCATAAATGCCTGTTAATTACTGCTCTGAGGTCTCTGACACCCTATTCTGGCCTGATACATTCATACAGACACACATGCAAACACACACAGATAAATAAATAAAATAAATAAATCTTTAAAAAATTAAGTATAGTCAAGCATGGTGGTGCATGCCTTTAATCCCAGCACTTGGAAGACAAAAGTGAGTGACTCTCTGTGAGTCCGAGGCTAGCCTGTTCTACATAGTGAGTTCCAGGCCATCCAGGACTACTTAGTGAGACCCTAAATGAGATTAGCTGATGATTAATTAAAAGTAAAACATAAAACATTCTAAAGGAAATGTGAACTCTCTAGGTTAGCGTTCTGAAGAAATCCTGAGGGCAGAGAGTTAAGCAGCACAGCTAGGGTGAAGTGAGGACTTCTCAATGGCGTTAGCCCACATTGTGAGTTTTGGTTCTGTGTTCTTATGTGTGACCCTGGAAGTGAAAGTCCAGACTGTGAGTACAGTCCAAGGTGGGGAGTTCCAGAAGAGCCGAGCACACACCGAGTTTGTAACACAATGAGGGGGATCTGAAGAAAACCAAAGACAAAGAGGGAAATCCGAGCAGAGAGAATGGAAAAACCAGGAGGCTTTCCAGAGAAGTTGGACTGGCAGGTGAACGGGCCATGACCACAGGGAGTTAAGAAAGCTGATTTTAGAGCCTCTAATCACTAACTCTAACCCTAACCCTCTGCTTCATACTTGGTCAGCAGGGGAAGGGAGCGATTGAGTACAGCACGGAATGCAATCAAGCACAAAGTGCAGACATCTAGGGAAATGGATGATTTTTGCTAGTTGGAAGCCGCTGGTCACAGTGGATCCACAGTGAAGAGGAGAGCAGCAGTGGATTACAGCATGCTCGCACACTCCATGCTCAGCCTCTCTCCTTTACACTCAACCCTGGGCGCCGCCCATGAAAGGATGCTACTCACATTCAAGGTGGATCTTCCCACCTCAGCTAACTCAGTTAAGAAAATTCCCCACATGGGGTAGGAAAGATGGCTCTTGGGTTAGAGCACTGGCTGCTTTTGCAGAGGACCTGGGTTCAGTTCCCAGCACCCACATGGCAGCTCACAACTGCCTGTAACTCCAGTTCTAAGGGATCCAACACCCTCTTCTGATCTCTTTGGGCACCAGGTATGCACACGGCACACATACACTCATGCAGGCAAAACACTCATACACATAAAATAAAAATAAATCTTTTTCTTTAACAAAAAGAAAGAAGATCCCCCACAGGCAATCCCACAGTCAACCTAATCTAAAAAATTCCTCACTGAGACCCCTTTTCTTGGTGCCTCTAGATTGTGTTGACAGGCAAAACTATCACATTGGCTATGATGGCTAATCCTGGGTGTCAACTTGACTGGATCTGGGATTAACTGAAATGAGAGAGATCTTCTTGATTGGATCATCTGAAGACACAAGACACACCCTAAATGTGGGTGTTACCTTCTGATGGCAGCCAGTATAAAAGGCCAAGGCAGAGGAGAACACCGGGCTTCTTGCTGCTTGCCTTCTCTCTCACTGGTGAGTTCGTCTTGCTGCTGTAGACTGAAGACTAGCTGATCTTTTGGAATTCATCAGACCTTCAGTGCCATATCGGGACTACTGAGACATCCAGCCTCATGGACTGAGTGACTATGGATTCTCAGCCTCTCCAGTGTGGTGCAGCCATTGTTGGACTACTCGGACTCTATCCTGTGAGCTAAGCTGATAAATCTCTATACATATGTATTCATTCTACTGGTTCTGTTTCTTTGGAGAACCCTGACTAATACACTGGCCAAGGATGACCTTGAACACCTGATCCTTAGTCTTAGATTTGGTCTGTGGAATAAAAATGAACTATCTCATCTAACATTGGTTGTGCGGGCTGGGTGTGGTCACGCATGCCTCTGATCCCAGCACTCAGGAGGCAGAGGCAGGTCAGCTGGGGCTACAGGGAGACCCTGCTTCAAAAAAACAGACAGAAAGAGAGAGAGAGAGAGAGAGAGAGAGAGAGAGAGAGAGGAAAAGGACTGGAAGAGAGGAAGAGGAGAGGGGTTTTAGCTCCTATCTCCTTCTAACACCTTTTGCCAAGAGCGGATTCCCGCACAGATTAAATACTAAGATATGGATCATGGACTAGCAAAATTAGCATGATACAGATCTTCAGGAAAATAACTTTTTTTCCTCCCTGTCCCTTGGCCGGGCTGGCACACGTTCTAAAGAATGAATCGAGGGCGACCAGAGCGCTGCAGGGAGGACAGAGCTGAATGCAGCCCACTGCCAGTCTTCCCTAGCTCCTCCTGCCCAACAGGGACCAGTCTTCCCAAAGCCCCTCTGGCGATGGCGCCTGCTAGCACCGCCGGACTCTGTGCCTGTGAGTTTGACCCTGTGGCAAGAGCCGGGAGCTTTCAGAGCTCAGCCCATCAGCACCACGGACAGCGCCCATCCTGCGGCTAGTCGCAGGCCAGGTAGGGCACGGGGGTGGAGCACCCCCTGCAGACAGAGCTCGGGACTGGCTCCGAGATGACTTAGCAGGCAGGGGGAGGCTGCAGGACAGAGGTCCCAACACCACGCTTAGAAAAGAGAACAGGCCATGTGGCCTCAGTGGACCACAGGATGGAAGGAGTTAAAGGAGAAATAGTGCTGTAAGGATTGGGGAAATTGACATGAAACCAGAGGTCTGTGGGGACGGAGGAACTGTTTAGAAGTTGAAGCTAGTTTTGAAAGTTTAACTACACAGGGCTTGTAAGAGGCCTCAGTGCCTCCCTAGCATGAGACCTGGTTTCAGAAAGGAAGGGGGTGGAGGGAAGAAGCGGGGGAGAGGGGAGGAGAGAGAGAGAGAGAAGAGAAGAGAAGAGAAGAGAAGAGAAGAGAAGAGAAGAGAAGAGAAGAGAAGAGAAGAGAAAAGAGGGGAGGGGAGGGGAGGGGAGGGGAGGAGAAGAAAATCACCCTGAGATGTCCTAACCAGTACCTGCTCTCCAAGAATGAGATGCTCCAGCTGAGAGACACAGGGCTCTCTGGATGATGGATGCTATGATGATGGTCTAAGAATGTCCCCCAAAAGCTCACGTGTTGAAAGCTTGGTGCTCAGATGTAGAGCATCTGGAAGGTGATTGTGAAGCCTGGACAGTGGAGACTTTAGAAGGGGGGGCCTGGTTGGAGGAAGGATGTCTCTGTGTGCCCTTGAAGAGGTGTATTTTGTCTTTCTTCCTCTCTCCTTTTCCATCTAACCCTCTCCTCTTACTCCCCCTGCTTCCCTGTGTCCCTCTCTCCTCCTCCCTCACCCCTCCTGACTGTCAGGAGGTGAGCAGCTTTCCCCCAACATGTCCTTCCAGTGAACTACAACCCTGACATCAGCCTCAAAGCAACTTGGGGAGGCAACCATGTGCAGCAACCTCTGAAGCTGTGAGCCAAAATAAATCAGCTGTTCACCTCAAGCATTTTGTCAGCCACAGAAACCTGAGTAACAACAGGTATGTCCTAGAGGACAAGAGGGGAAAGGAGGACTGGGGTGTTGGAAGGAATGAGAACATTCCAAGGTGGCTTGTGAGCTGGCCTGTGGAGAGTCCCCCTAGAATCTTAAGGGCAAAAGCACTGGAGCAGAAATTTCCAGATCCTTTACTATGCTGGTTACTTTGTAAGTGTCAACCTAGACTCACCTGAGAACATTAACTGAGGAATCACCAAAAGAGGGCGTCGAGTCCCCTAGAACTGGAATCACTGATGAGTGTTAGCGACCACATGGATGCTGGAAACTGATCCCTGGGCCTTCTGCCAGAGCAGTCAGTGCTTTTTATTTTTATTTTTTTAATAAATATGTATGAGTGTTATGCCTGCATGTACGTGCACCCAGTGCATGCAATGCCCCCAGAAGCCAGAAGAGGGCATCCACTGGAACTGGAGCTTCCAGTGGTTGTGAGCGACCATGTGGGTGTTGGGAACTACCAGGGTCCTCTGCATGAGCAGTGAGTGCTCTTAACTACCTAGCCATCTCTCTAGCCCCTGGTTGGAACACTGGCTGTTCTTCCAGAGGACACATGTTCAATTCCCAGGACCTACATGGTGGATAACAATCGTCTGTGATGCCAGTTCCAAGGGATCTGACACCCTCTTGTGGTCTCCACCAACACTGCATGCATATGGTGCACTTACATACATACATGCCGGCAAAACACTCATACACATAAGTAAAAAATATTTTAAAAAGATTTTTATCTACGTGTGTGTCTGTGTGTATGTGCATTCAGGTGTCCAAAGAGGCCAGAAGAGGGTCTTAGATCCCCTGGAAATGAAATTACAGGTGGTCGTTACCCACCATGTGGGTGCTGGGAACCAAACCTGGGTCCCTCTGCAGGGGCATTCTGTGCTCTCAACCGATGAGCCATCTCTCCAGCCCATTTTGTTTTTCTTACCAATGTCCACAACAGCCCCAAGATCTAATATGTACTCACTAAATATTTCTGGGAATGTTAACAGTCCAGTGGGGAGAGATCTTGTCAAACATCAGCTCAAAAGGACAGAACAATGCCCCAGAGGGATGGATGGCCACAAAATAAGATGTCCAGGGGATGGGGATTTGAGAAAGCCTTCTAACAAGGGTTGGATGGGATCAACCAGAATCAGGGAAGGCATCTGTATTGGTTCCTTTACTGTTGCTGTGATAAAACACCATGACCTAAAGCCAGGCATGGTGGCATAGACCTTTAATCCCAGCACACAGGAGGCAGAGGCAGGTGGATCTCTGTGAGATGGATAGCCTGGTCTACATAGTGAGTTCCAGCCTAGCTGGGGCTACAGGGAGACCCTGTCCCAAAAGACAAAAAACAAAACAAAAACCAAACATAAGAAAAAAGCACCCTGACCCACGCAACTTGCAGAAGGAAGAGTTTATTTGGGCTTACAGTTCCAGAGGGTTCAGAGTCCATCTTGTCAGAGAGGCACGGCAGGAGGCAGCCAGAACAGAAAGGCCATCACTCACATCTTCACCCACACACAGGAAGCAGAGAGAGGACAAGATGGATGTGGGACAAGGCTATGTACTCTCAAAGTCCACCCCAGTAACGTGCCTCCTCCAGCAAAGCCATACCTCCTAAACTCTCTGAACAGCACAAACACCTGGGGTCCATATGCCAAGTGTCTAAGTACTTGAGGCTACAGGGGACATTGGGACATCCCTGCTAAAGAATAAAACTGAGCAAGGCTTCCTCCGGTCAGGTGGGAGTGGGAAGCTTCTGGAAACCTGCCAGGCCAGCTGGCAGCAGCTGAAAGAGGGCAGCCCTCTGCTGGTCAGCTCCTGAATCTTCCTGTCGGGCGGGCTGGAGGCAAGGGCAGAAACAGAATGTCACTAACCCAGGCTCACGCAGCTCTGCCTCCAACGGCCTGAACTCTGCAGCACCCACCAGCTCCTCCTGACTCAAGGCAGAGACACCAGGAGAGTCAGGTGGGACTGGATAAGATGGGGGGGCCAACCCCACCGTGTCGCAGACTATGGGAGCGGGTGCACGTCCACAGGAGCCCCCAGCACAAGGGCTGAAGCCCACACCAGAGTCATGAGGTCATTGTGTGGGGTGAAGTGGTCCCAGGTGGTACTGAACTGTCCTGTGACTTGGCCAACCTGAGTCCACTCACACCCCGAAGGGGAGCTCAAGAACACAGAGAAATTTGGCCTCTGCTCCCTCAGACCCAGCAGCCCCGAGTGGGGCGCCCTCCTCCTTCAGTGCAAACATCCCAGCCGGCTTCTGCAAGGTAGGGGCTCCTCAGGCCCGGGGCACTGCAGGGCACCATCCTCAGGACAAAGGTGGTTCAGCAGGTGTCGGGCACAGTCACCGGTAGAGCTAAGGTCCCAGGGGTCACTGCAGGGCTCAGGCCCCAGTCACCGCAAGCAAGGGCCCCACAGGGCTCCCTGGCTCCGTAGGGTACTGGCCGCCCCGCCCCCTCCCGTCCATCGGCCCCGCCCCTCCATCCGCCCCGCCCCCCTCCATCCCTCCGCTCACTCGCAGGCACAGGGTCCCGGCGGGGCCGCGGGGTCGCAGGCCGGGTTCCCGGCCGGCTCCTCGCACGGTCCCCGGCGGCCCTTGCCGATGGCCAGGCGCGGCCGCGGTCCAGGAGCGCGCAGGCCTGGCAGAGAGCGCGGTTGGCCAGCGCCCCGCAGCGGGAGCAGGCGCCGGGACGCGGGGGCCACACGGCTGGAGCCAGCGGCAGCCGCTCAGCCGATTGCACCAGGTCCAGCACCGCCGAAGGGGCCGCGCCGCCTCCAGCCACTTTGAGCAGGTCGCGCGCGTGTCCGCGGAAGGCCTCGGGGGCGTACACGCAGTCCTCGGAGAAGTAGAGCACCACCTCCTTCAGCGACGCCAGCTGCAGAGGCCGGCAGCGCGATAGCGCGCACCCCTCGCCCCCCGAGCCCAGGCCCCCGCCGCGCGCCGGCTGCCCCGCGTCGCCGCGGAGGAAGTTCATGAGCACCATCTCCGCCATGTCGTCCGCGTTGTGACCTGAGGGGGAGAGTGGGGTGAGGGGCTGAGACCGGGGCAGGGAGACCCCGGGAGCGGAGAGACCCCGGGACCCAAGGAGACTCCAGGACCCAGAGAGACCCCGGGACCAGGGAGACCCCAAAACCCAGGGAGACCCCGGGACCCAGGAAGACCCGGGAACCCAGAGAGACCCGGGACCAGGGAGACCCCGGGACCCAGGAAGACCCCTGGACCACAGGGAGACCTCAGGACCCAGAGAGACCCAGGGAGACCCCAAGACCCAGAGAGAACCCAGGACCAGAGAGACCCCGGGACCCAGGAAGACCCTGGGACCAGGGAGACCCCAAAACCCAGGGAGACCGCAGGACCAGAGAGACCCCGGGATCAGAGAAACCCCACGACCAGGGAGATCCCCAGGACCCAGGAAGACCCCGGGATCAGAGAAACCCCAGGACCCAGGAAGACCCCGGGACCCAAGGAGACCGCGGGACCAGGGAGACCCCGGGACCAGAGAAACCCCGGGACCCAGGGAGACCCCAAAATCCAAGGACACCCCAGGACCCAGAGAGACACCAAAACCAGGGAGACCCCGGGACCCAGGAAGACCCGGGACCAGGGAGACCCCGGGACCCAGAGAGACCCCGGGACCAGGGAGACCCCAAAACCCAGAGACCGCGGGACCAGAGAGACCCTGGGACCCAGAGAGTCCCAGGGACCCAGGAAGACCCCGGGACCAGGGAGACCTCAGGACCCAAGGAGACACCAAAACCCGGGGAGACCGCAGGACCAGAGAGACCCCGGGACCCAAGGAGACCCCGGGACCAGAGAGACCCCAAAACCCAGGGAGACCCCAAAACCCAGGGAGACGGCAGGACCAGAGAGACCCCTGGACCACAGGGAGACCTCAGGACCCATAGAGACCCAGGACCCAGGGAGTCCACAAGACCTAGAGAGACCCCAGGACCAGAGGGGCTCGTGGAAGTGGGGATCTCAGGACCCAGAGAGAGGGGAAAAAGGGAGTAAGACCCAGAGAGCGAAGAGGGGGCCTGGAGACCCCCATTCAGTAAGAGTAGGGCAGTGGGGGTGGGCCATGGAGACCTGCATCCTGTCCCTAGAGCAGCCAGGACTCAGAAGGCCGACACTAAGAATGCCACTAAAAACGTGCTTGTGGAGGGGCTGGAGACGTGGCTCAGCCAAGAGTACCGGCTGCCCTTGTAGAAGTTCGGGTTCGATTCCCAGCACCCACGTGGCAGCTAACAACCGGCCAGAACTCCAGTTCCAGGGGATCCGACGCCCTCTTCTGGCCTTCACAGGCATTGCACAGACGGGTGCACTTGACACGTGCAGGCAGCACACTCGTACACAGGAAATAAAGATGAGTTTTTTAAAAGATGGCAGGAGAGAAGCCCGCCAAGCCCACCCCACTCCACTTCCCTACCAGGCTCCAGTAGCAAAATGGAGCATGCGCACGTCCTCTGGCTTCTCCGGGCTGTCCTTTCCCACCCCCCGGCTGTCCTTACCCCCACCCCTGTCCTTTCCCACGCCCCGCGCTCACCGGTCACTATGTGCGTGGCTCCCACCAGACGCGCGCCCTCCTCCAGCGCGCGGCGCCGCAGCACCCCGCAGAAGGTGCAGCAGTTGCGGCTGCGGTCGGAGCCGGTAGTGCTGCGGGCCACGGCGTCCACTGTCCAGCCCCCGAAGAGGTCGGCGTAGGCCACGACGGTGAGCGGTAGCCCCCAGCGCTCTGCCTGGCTGCGCACTGCCGCCAACGCCGCGTCCCGGTAGCCGCCGATGCCCTCGTCCACCGCCACCAGCTGCAACGCGATGCCCAGGTGCGGCGCGAGCGCGCGTAGCACGTGTGCCAGCACCGTGGAGTCCTTGCCGCCCGAGGCGCCCACGGCCCCGGGCGGCAGCAGGCGGCACGCGAGCACCGTGCGCAGCACCTCGGCCTCGAAGGCGGCGCAGAAGCAGGAGCCGCACAGAGCCTGTCCAGAGCGCAGCGTAGGGCGCCGCGTGCCACACCGCAGGAGGCGCAGGTCTGGGCTGGGGCATCGCGAGGCCGGGGTGGGAGAGACGCGGTCAGCGAGACGTGTGCGTTACCCTGGACGTGTGCACTGCGGAAAGAGAGAGGAGGGGGCCGGGATGCGTGCGCGTGTACTCCGGGGTTGGGGGCGGGGATAGGTCACCTGGACACGTGCGCTGCGGAGGAGAGAGGAGGCTGCATAGAGTTAAACTGTGTAGGCTCCAGCGAGCGAAGTGCCTTAAGGACCTGTGGCCTTGAGAGGCCCCTGTCATTACCATCCCATCGTTACAGGGTGGGTTTCACTGACTCAGAGGCAGAGGCCTGCAGCTGTGTGGACTGTGTGACCTGAGCAGGTCCTGCCTCACCTAGACGCACTCTGGTAACCAGGAGGAAACCCGCTGCGGTGACGGGTGTGCCCTGACTCTAGGACTGTACTCAGCCCTGGTGCTGGAGTCCCATACAAACACCTATGCCCTCAGAGGGCCATGGGTCAGCCCATCCTGGGCTCCTTCCTCCCCTCCCACAGCCATGATTCCAGCCCTCCAGCTCCTGTCTGTCTCCTGAACCAATAAACAGTCCAGGCCCAGTCCCCTCCCCACACTCCATGGTTTCTCCCTAGACCGTGACACTAGCCTCTTCCCTGCAGAGCAGCCTGTTCCTGGGATTTACAATAATCAAAATTACCTTGAGGGGCTGGAGAGATGGCTCCTCTCACAGAGGACCTGGTTCAGTTCCCAGAACCCCCATGTCAGATAACAACTGTCCATAACTCGAGTTCCAAGGGGTTCAGCATCCTCTTCCAGCTGCCATGGGCATTATACACATGTGGTACACCTACAAACATGCAGGCAAAACACTCATACACAAAAATATGACCATGGATTTCCTGTGGGTAACTTCCACCAAGGCAAGGACAGCCCCATTCAGATGTTTAACCAGCACCTCTACCCGGCAATCCATGATCCCTTTAACACCACAGTGCTCTCCCACAGAGAAGGGAAGCTTTGCCTTCCCAGGTGCCTAGGCCAGAAGCCCTGGGGTCCAGGACCACTCTGGCTGCTCACATGGTGGGAGACTCAAAATGTAGAGTCAAGTACCGACCGCAGCATCGTTACACCTCACACTCAGAGCCTCAAAATACACAGTACATCCTGTTGGAAGCCTCCAAACAAATCCGGAAGCCAGGCAATTCCCACCTGCTGTATGGACAGTGTGGTAATCTCGGCCCAGGAAGGAGCCCTTGGGCCCCATCTGTCACAGCTCAGCACAGCCAGGCAAGGTGGCTCACACCTGTAATCCCAGCACTGGGTAGGCTGAGGCAAGAGGATTTGAAGTCCAAGGGCAGCCTGGGCTAGTGAGACCCTGTCTCAAAACACCAAAGCAAACGGAGCTGGAGAGGTGGCTCAGCAGTTAGAGCACTGGCTACGGAGCCGCCAGAGAGTTGGGGTGGGGTTCTGGCTACCTACCAGAGGGCCTGAGAACCCAGGGGACTGCCTCACAGCCCCCAGACCCTGCTTCCACGTGATGGTGAGCTTCCCCTAATTGCACCATATCCCACTACCTGGGATTCTGTGAGGCCCCTCCGAAGGCCCCAGGGCAGATCTGGCTTTGGTGGGCTAGGGCTGAGATCCTAGCAGACAGCCTGAGAGGGTGGGTTCGGACTTCCATCGGGGTACCTGCTCGGAGCTCAGCAGACCACCAGAGAGTGCCAAGTTCTGGCCCCTCTCTGCCCTCCCTCTGGCATAGGGTTGACAACACACAGGACTGCCTGAGAGAGCCTGGATCCTGCCTCCACGTGGTGAAGGAAGCCTGAGTGTACCTGACTGGAACCTGAATTGGGCTTCTGTGGGTACCCCTGAAGAGCTGATCTGAAGCCATCAGTTCCCTCCAAAATAAACCTGTGAGAACCTGAACCCTGTACCAACCAGCTTTACATAACCAATAAAGAAAGGATCTAGGCACCCAGATAATACAAACAGAAGCATATTTCAACTTAATTCTCATATGAAAATCATAAACAAGGAAAGAAATTCACATGTCAAAACCACAATGAAAGAATAATAAAATGGAAAGCCAACCTGCCTCTGCTTCCCTGGGCCTGCACAACCCAGAGGCCTCTCTCCAGGGTAAGTCAATCGCACCCTCTGTGCCTTGAGTCCCCCAGCCTCATCCACCCTCCAATCTCCCTGCCAGTCTCTCCTAGCCTGGGTCTTGTCCCATTCCTTGTCTTGGCGCCCCAGACACCTGGGGAACCCCCACTACTTCCTGATCCTTTTCATCCAGACCAACTCAGTTCCTTCTCGGGTCCCCAGGAGCCCTCTGGGCCTGGTCTTGCCCTCACCTCCCTCTGCTTCCCTGGGCTGTACAACCCCCGCCCAGCCTCTCTCCTGGACATGGGGGCTGACCTTTCCTCTTCCTGATCCTTTGCATCCAGACCAGCTCCTCAGTGAAGTCCGCAGGAGCCCTTGGGGCTGCTTCCCACCCCCATCTTCTTTTGCATCTCTGGGTGGCATAGCCACAAGCTACCCTAGACCAGCAACTTTCCTGGGCCCCGCTCCCAGGCCAGTCCAAACCCAAATGCCTGAGGTCAAAATCTTTCCTGGAGGGATCCAGACCTTAGGAGAAAGAGCATCTGACCCTCACCTGAATTGGGCCTCTGTGGAAACTCCTGAAGACAAAAGCAATCTGGCCACTCCAATATAAAATCAAAAGAGAGAAC